CTCCATTCATAGAGAGAATTAAAAAAAAAAAAAAAAAAAAAAGGGGCCGGGCTGTACAGTGACTGAGCCAATCAGAGACTATCACAGCGATCATGTGACCAGGAATCGGGAGTCCCGGGTCCCGATCGTTAGAACGGGACTCGGGGCTCTCAGCGACACCCCGGTCTTTGTTCTGGGAGCCCGCTGTGCGGTGCGCTCCCACCAGAAAGACAGGTACACGAATATGTGGCCCCACGGAAAAAGTCCCAGTTCTGTGAGGCCTCATATTTGTGTTACGTCGGCGTCAAGGGTCTGTAGAGGCTTTTAAAGTGTCACCTATTAGAAATGTGGGGTATTGAAATTTCTTGGCATTTCACATGAGGACGCAGTTTTAGCCTAGGTTCACACATGAGCGTTTTTTAGAGCATTTTCCGGTTTGCAGAAACGCACTACAGTCCATTTAACATGGTTTCCTATGGATCTAGTGCACATCTGTGCGTTTTGATCTGGAGCGTTTTTTAGAACAGATCAGGGATTTTTCTTTTCCACAGCAGATTGCGCTTTGACTGTAATAGACTTCAATAATGAAACTGCACCAAAAATGCAAGTGCTGCTTTTTTATGTGTTTTCGATGTGTTTTGCTTTTTTTTTTTTTTTTTTTTATTTTGCCAATAGGAAAGTATGACAGTTTTGGGTTAGGGTTAGTGGTAATCCTTAGGGTTAGAAGTAATTGTTAGCATTCTAACCCGAACAATTACAGCTCACCCTAAGGATTACCACTAACCAGGAACGGACTGACAACTCATGGGGCCCCCGGGCAATAGGGGATCATGGGGCCCCTGTGTCCTTGCCCAAACTCAAAAAAGCCTATGAAAAAGGTACCAGGGGCATCTCATGGGGCCCCCTACTGACCCCGGGCCCTCGGGCAGTGCCCGAGTTTCCAAATGGTCAGTCCGCCCCTGCCACTAACCCTAACCCAAAACTGTCATACTTTCCTATTGGCAAATAAAAAGGCAAAAAAAAAAAAAGGCAAAACGCATCAAAAGAATGCAAAACACATAAAAAATGCAAATTCAACAACAGAAAATGTGCAAAACACGCAGGAAAAACTCATCAACCGCAACCCGCGTGAACCTAGCATTAAGGCTTGACATGTTGGGTATCTATTTACTTGGTGCAACCTCTTCTTTTACATTTTGTCAAAAAACTGGGTAATGTATCCCATTTGTGTGCCCTAAATTTAACTTTAGCATATTTTTTGTTAAAATGTTGCAGTCGGTAAACCGTTGTACATCGTATGACATAAAAAAAATTGGAACTACCACCATTTTATTCTCCAGGGTGTCTGCTTTTGGCAAATGTATAATGGGCAGCACAGTGGCTAAATGTTTAGCACTTCCACCTGGCAGCACTAGGGTTGTTGGTTCAAATCCCAACCATGGCACCACCTGCCTGGAGTTTGCATGTTCTCCCTGTGCCTGTGTGGGTTTCCTCTAGGTACTCCAGTTTGTTTCACACAAATAGAGCTTTCTTTTGGTGGTATTTGATCAACACACCTTGAAGGGGTTTCTGCCACCAGGAGGTGGGGCAGGGTTCAGGGTCATGGGCAGCACAGTGGCTAAGTGGTTAGTACTTCCACCTGGCAACACTTGGGGTCATTGGTTTGAATCCCAACCACGGCATCACCTGTCTGGAGTTTGCATGTTCTCCCTGTGCCTGTGTGGGTTACTCCAGTTTCCTCCCACATTCCAAAGACATGCTGGTAGGTGAATTGGCTCCTGTCTAAATTGGCCCTAGTACGTGTATGTGAGTTTGGGACCTTAGATTGTACGCCTCTTGAGGGCCAGTTCACACTATAGAAATGCATTCTGGTGCACTTTTGACGCATCCCAGTGTGTTTTTGTATGGATTCCAGTTCATTTTTTTCCCCTCTCTTTTTCTTCAATTAAAATAGGGCCATGTGCGTTCCGGTGCGTTTTTGATGCGTTCCAGTACAGTTCTGTGCAGAAAAAATGCGGCCTGTTCTACTCTTTTTTCTTCATCCGGAACGCACTGGAACTGCAAGCGCCGATGTGAACTATGTCACTGACCACCATATCACCTCCTTTCTGTGCGTTTTTGGATGCAGAAAAAAAGCAACTGAAATGCATGTCGTGTGAACCGACCCTGGCTAAGTGCAATACAAAATGAAGATAAAATCCCCCTGCGCTAAAAAGGAAACCTATAAACATATATACTAAGCAGCTGACACCCTATCCTAGACCTATAGGTGCAACAAAGAAATACATCATGAGAATGGTGCAGCGCTACAAATGAAAAACTATCATGTGAAAATGCATCAATAAATAACTAAATAAACACTCAATAAAATACAAATAAACGTATAAATGTGATGGATCCTCCAAGGGTCTAAAATAAGTGTCACAAAAAGTGATTACAGTGTATATTTTGGGACCTGACTGATATACGCACTGTAATCACTTTTTGTGACACTTATTTTAGACCCTTGGAGGATCCATCACATTTATACGTTTATTTGTATTTTATTGAGTGTTTATTTAGTTATTTATTGATGCATTTTCACATGATAGTTTTTCATTTGTAGCGCTACACCATTCTCATTATACAGTTGTGATCAAAATCATAGCAGTCAGACATCACTAACCGGATCAATCACTGTTTTTGGTGGAAATGATATTTCTACATGGCAAATAATTTCCTAGCAGGTGTAGTAGAGTCATAGAAATCCAACAGACCCGACAGTCACGACATGCATGCTGCTGATTCTGTGTCATTGAATCACTCATTGAAAGGGGCGTGTTCAAAATAATAGCCGTGTGGAGTTCTATTAGTGAGGTCATTCATTCTTTGTAAAACCGGTGGCAATTATTGCCCTTATTTAAGGAAGGAAGGCAGCAAATGTTGGACATGCTGGTTACAGTGCATTTCTCTCTGGAATTCTGAGGAAAATGGGTCGTTCCAGACATTGTTCAGAAGAACAGCGTACCTTGATTAAAAAGTTGATTAGAGAGGGGAAAACATATAAAGAAGTGCAGAAAATGATCGGCTGCTCTCAGCTAAAATGATCGCAAATGCTTTAAAATGGCAACCAAAACCTGAAAGACGCGGAAGAAAGCTAAAAACTACCATTGGAATGGATAGAAGAATAGCCAAAATGGGGCGGACTCAGCCAACAATCAGCTCCAGGAAGATGAAAGAAGGTGTGACGTTCCCTGTGAGGACTGTTACAATTAGAAGACGCCTATGTGAAGCCAAGCTATCTGCAAGAAGTCCCCGCAAAGTCCCACTGTTGGGAAAAAGACGTGCTGAAGAGGTTACAATCTGCCAAAGAGCACATTGACCGGCCTAAAGAGAAATGGCGCAACATTTTGTGGACTGATGAAAGTAAGATTGTTCTTTTTGGGTCTAGTGGGCGGAGACAGTTTGTCAGACGACCCCCAAACACTGAATTCAAGCCACAGTACACTGTGAAGACAGTGAAGCATGGTGGTGCAAGCATCATGATATGGGGATGTTTCTCATACTACGGTGTTGGGCCTATTTATCGCATACCAGGGATCATGGATCAGTTTGAATCCATCAGAATACTTGAAGAGGTCATGCTGCCTTATGCTGAAGAGGAAATGCCCTTGAAATGGGTGTTCCAACAAGACAACGACCCCAAACACACCAGTAAACGTGCAACATCTTGGTTCCAGACCAACAAGATGGACGTTATGGAGTGGCCAGCCCAATCCCCGGATCTTAATCCAATAGAAAACTTGTGGGGTGACACCAAAAATGCCGTTTCTGAGGCAAACCCAAGAAATAGAGAAGAACTGTGGAATGTGGTCCAATCATCCTGGGCTGGAATACCTGATCACAGGGGCCAGAAGTTGGGTGACTCCATGCAACACAGATGTCCAGCAGTTCTCAGAAACAGTGCGACTACAACCAAATATTCATGAAGTCATTCAAAGGAAAGCAAAATCTTCAAACATTTCTCAGTTTATATAGTGAATGTTTGAGTTTGTAAAGAAGAATACAAACACTGCTAGTTTTTTGAACCGTCTAATATTCAGTTTTCTTCAATTTTTTTAGAGGAACAACACAAATTTGATATATTTTTCTTCCTGTTTTGATTTGGAATAGAATGTGTCGTGTTCCCAATGCATTTGTGTGGCTGGAAATAAAAGTATTAGAAGGATTTTCAGCTTTATTCACTTTTTTCAACACACTGCTATTATTTTGAACACAACTGTATTAGTATATGATAAATGCATAAACATAAAGAAACGCGTTAACCAGTTGGTCTTCCAGGGATCCATCGTATGGACTCAGATGCTGTTTGGATCATACATCTTGTTCAGTCTGACATGCCTGTAATTCACTTTTTTCAACACACTGCTATTATTTTGAAAAAAACTGTATATTACAGTGGCTAAGTGGTTAGCACTTCCACCTGGCAGTACTAGGGGTCATTGGTTCAAATCCCAACCACAGCACCACCTGCCTTGAGTTTGCATGTTCTCTCTGTGCTTGTGTGGGGGTGCTCTGGTTTCCTCCCACACCCTAAAGACATGCTGGTAGGTGAATTGGCTCCTGTGTAAATTGTCCCTAGTATGTGTATGTATGAATGTAAGTTAGAGACCTTAGATTGTACATTCCTTGGGGGTTAGGGACTGATGTGAATGTACAATATATATGTAAAGTGCTGCGTAAATTGATGGTGCTATATAAGTACCTGAAATAAATAATATTTTGGGAGTTTTAACTAATCCTCAAGTCTAAAATTATTTTTTGAAACAAGTGCAAAAAAAAAAAACACAAAAAGGGCCCTGGCAGCAAAAATGGTTAAAGTAACAAACTTTGACTCCTTGTACTGGAGACACTGCCTCTGCCTCTAATCGGCCATTTTCACCCCCAATTGGTGGCTAACGTGGGCTGCAATATATGAGGCACACGCAGTCTCCCGTGCTCTATTCAGGGGGGGTACCAGCTGTGACAACACTGAGACTCACCAGAAGGATTGTTATAGGGATAGAGGATTTTGGTGTTCTCAGACGGCCCCTTGGCGATGCAAAAGAACACGCCCACCAGCGCCTTGGGGGGGAATTTGACCTGCAGTTCATTCTCGTGTGATCTGGTGTGGGGGGGCCCAGAGTTGATCCTCACGATGGTATTGTCCCGCTCGATGCGCAAGTCCGAACTTTGCATTTCCCGTTCTCCGGTGATACACGAAAAAGTGAAATTGGCCCGGCGGTGCTCGGAGGTAACGGACACCAGCGTGACATCGAGAACTGCCCCTGCGGGAAAAAAAAAAACACAAACAACAATGTATTATATTAGAGCCAAAAATACAAGAATTGACCAGCAAACAGCCCTGTGAGCCACAAATCGGAACCAATTTAAAGCTGAACTCTGGGTAGATATAAAAGACACACATGGATGCAGTTCTGTATCCATTACTATGTGCGTAAATATATATTTTTATATGCAAACATTGTAAATATCTGGATTTGACCTGGCATCAGCCTCTTGCAGTGTCTGTCCAGCAGAGCTTAGACTAGTGGAGTGGGAAGCAAAAGGCATGCTGATAGAAGGAGAGAGCAGAGTGACAGAGAGATGAGCCCATTATTCTGCTGCTTCTCCATTCACAGTCCAGTCACAGACTGGGGGCTGGTCCGGGATCACCTAAGCATAGAGGAAGTGAGAGGAATGATGCCGGCTTTCAGACTGAGGACATCTAGTGACAGAAAAAAAGCACTGTAGGGGAAATCTCACTGAAGATAAATATTGCAGCATAGGCTGGTTTTATTTTTACCCTTTAATGGGCCGGGGGAGGGACAAGACCTGAACTGCAATAGAGAAAAAGCAAGTCTCCTGTCCTGCCAGACAGGACTGTGCCGTGGGGCAGAGCTGTGTAAATCTCAGGACTGGATGGTCAAAAATAGAAACCCATGTCTACAAGGAGCAAATAATTTGTACTGTAGTGCAATCAGCATGTTGATAGGAGGAGAGAGCAGAATGACAGAAAGATGAGCTCGTCATTGTACTTCTCCTTTCACTGTCCAGTCACAGGGTTGGGATGGAAAGGAAACTGGAAAGTGTTACGGATCCCCCCACCTTTATATTTTAGAATAACCCCTTTTACATCAGAGTCTCCCTTTTTTATTAGTGTACCCCCTTCACATCAGAGCCCCCATTTACAATACAGTACCCCCTTCACATCAGATCCCCCATTTACAATACAGTACCCCCTTCACATCAGAGCCCCCATTTACAATACAGTACCCCCTTCACATCAGAGCCCCCATTTACAATACAGTACCCCCTTCACATCAGAGCCCCCATTTACAATACAGTACCCCCCTTCACATCAGAGCCCCCATTTACAATACAGTACCCCCTTCACATCAGAGCCCCCATTTACAATACAGTACCCCCCTTCACATCAGAGCCCCCATTTACAATAAAAAAAAACCCTTCACATCCAACCCCTCATTTATAATACAGTACCCCCTTCACATCAGATCCCCCATTTACAATAGAGTACCCCCTTTACATGGGAAGATGGATGGAGCCAAATACAGGGCAATCTTAGAAGAGTCAGCAAAAGCCTTCAGACCGGGGCGGAGGTTCACCTTCCAGCAGGACAACGACCCGAAACATCCAGCCAGAGCTACAATGGAATGGTTCAGATCAAAGCATCTTCATGTGTTTGAATGGCCCAGTCACAGTCCAGACCCAAATCCAACGGAGAATCTGCGGCCAGATCATAAAATTGCTGTTCCCAGACGCTCTCCATCCAATCTGACAGAGCTTAAGCAATTCTGCAAAGAAGAATGGGCAGAAATGTCCCTCTCTAGATGTGCAAAGAGACATCCCCAAAAAAGACTTGCAGCTGGAATGGCAACCAAAGGGGGTCCTACAAAGTATTGACTCCGGGGGGCCGAATTCAAATGCCGCCACACTTTTTACGATTTATTGGTCACAAATGCTGAAAACCATTTCTCATTTTCCTTCCCCTTCACAATTATGTGCCACTTTGTGTCGGTCCATCACATCCAATCCCAATAAAATACATTCATGGTTTTGGTTGTAACATGACAACATGGGGAACATTTCAAGGGGTATGAATACTTTTTCAGGGCTCTGTAATATCAACCATTAATTATGGAAGACCCAGGGTTAACTCTAAGGCACTAGGATCCCCATGGTGCCAGCTATACGTGGTCCTGTATCTGCAAACAAGTATCTAATGTTGAGCTATTGTGAAATCACATACATGTAACATTACGTGAGATTAACTATGGAAGACCTGGGGTTGACTACTATGGTTAGGTACACTAGGATCCCCATGGTGCCAGCTACACTTGTATTTGCCAGCAATTGCCTAATGTTCTGGTATTGCACCATCACATACAAATAACATCACCTGAGATTAATTAGTTCCAAAGTTTACAAACAATGGGCCAGTTTATTGTCCTTCAGACTTAAGGGTGGCCAGATTGTGGCCAATGGGGTTAGAAAATGTCTTGGGCTCAACATCAGTGAGAATAAACATTGCCACAGGGTTGGTAGTCAGTTACCTAGTATCCCACCATTGGCATCAATGGAAGAAATAGCACCTTATTGTTGGTGTCAGTGGGAGGAATAGTGCCCCATCATTGATATCAGAGGGAGGAGAAGTGGCCCATCATTGGTGTCAGTGGCAGGAATAGTGCCTCATCATTGGTATCAGTGGGAGGAATAGTGCCCCATCATTGGTGTCAGTGAGAGGAATAGTGCCCCATCATTGGTGTCAGTGAGAGGAATAGTGCCCCATCATTGGTGTCAGTGGGAGGAATAGTGCCCCATCAGTGGTGTAAGTGGATGAAATGGTGCCCCATCATTGGTATTAGTGGGAGGAATAGTGCCCCACCATTGATATCAGTGGGAGGAATAGTGCCTCACCATTGATATCAGTGAGAGGAATAGTGCCCCATCATTGGTATCAGTGGGAGGAATAGTGCCCCACAATTAATATCAGTGGGAGGAATAGTGCCCCATCAGTGGTGTCAGTGGGAGGAATAGTGCCCCATCATTGGTATCAGTGGGAGGAATGGTGTCCCATCATTGGTGTCAGTGGGAGGAATAGTGCCCCATCATTGGTATCAGTTGGAGGAATAGTGCCCCATCATTGGTATTAGTGGGGAGGAATAGTGCCCCACAATTAATATCAGTGGGAGGAATAGTGCCCCATCAGTGGTGTCAGTGGATGGAATGGTGCCCCATCATTGGTATCAGTGGGAGGAATGGTGTCCCATCATTGGTGTCAGTGGGAGGAATAGTGCCCCATCATTGGTATCAGTTGGAGGAATAGTGCCCCATCATTGGTATCAGTGGGAGGAATAGTGCCCCATCATTGGTATCAGTGGGAGGAATAGTGCCCCACAAATAATATCAGTGGGAGGAATAGTGCCCCATCATTGGTAAAAGTGGGAGGAATAGTGCCCCATCAGTGGTGTCAGTGGATGGAATGGTGCCCCATCATTGGTATCAGTGGGAGGAATAGTGCCCCATCATTGGTATTAGTGGGAGGAATAGTGCCCCATCATTGGTGTCAGTGAGAGGAATAATGCCCCACCATTGGTATCAGTGGGAGGAATACCACTGATACCAATGATGGGGCACTATTCCTCCCACTGATACCAATGATGGGGCACGATTCCTCCCACTGACACCAATGATGGGGCACTATTCCCCCCACTGATACCAATGATGGGGCACTATTCCTCCCACTGACACCAATGATGGGGCACTATTCCTCCCACTGACACCAATGATGGGGCACTATTCGTCCCACTGACACCAATGATGGGGCACTATTCCTTCTACCTTTTGCCTAAATTTGCCAATTTCTTATCCCACCTTTCTTGCCTGGGCCAGATTTCTTCAAGCAAATACACATATAGCCGCCTGAACAGTCAAACTCATCCACTATGAACAAAGTTTCATGTTCCTACAGAAATTGAGAAGTTACCTGTTCTTCTTGGAAGTAAACAACTGAACAGGAGACCCAGGACAGGGAGGAGCCTCAGCATTGTCCCAGCTGTGGCACAGAGGTGAAGATCGCCCAGGTTGATCCACGTGTCCAGCAATCAGTGCCAGATCCTCATATTTCATATAGCCGAGCCAAGTTGTTAAGAACAGATCCTCAAGAGATAGTGAAAAATTCCCAAAGGATTAATCCTGTAACCAAATCCAGTTGATGTTGACGAGAAGACTCCAGATGGATCCAAGATATCTACACCCAACGGGACGGCTCCCAGAATTTGTCCTGTTGGCTTGCCGTACTGTGGATGGAGCTAAGGGGTCCAAATCCAGCTGGCCCTTGGGTTACCTCACCAGTAGAGCCATCACTTTAAAGTCCTCTCTCTGATGGTCAGCTCTGCGGACAATAAAGAACATCAGATGGATATTTTCGGGAATATTCCAGAGCTCCTGTGACTTTCTCACGTCCTGCCTCCTCTGACTTCCATGGGTTTCTGGGATTTGGGCATGGAAAGAGGAAAAAGGCGTAGCAGGACTGTGAGTACAGGAAACCCTTAGAACTGAGCTCGCAGCGATGGCCTCCAGTTGAGGAAATCGCAGTCTGAGTAACTCTGGGAATGGAAGATGACAAAGCCTACCACCCCCCCTCCCACGTCCCCCCCCCCCCCCCCCCCCGTGTGAAAACCATTGTTCTGTTCTACACAAGAGATCAATGTTAGCCATGATGTTCCTGTGATGGCCCATAAACTAGATAAGGAGCTCACATCTAGGGTTGTACTGTCCTAACCTGTACAGCAAATTTCTGGGTGGGATTCTGAACAGCAGGTTGTATGATTCTGGTTTAGCAATTTTCCCATAAATCACCGATGACCAGTTATCATTCAGGCTCAACTTCCTGTGATTCTTCTACAATCCAAACACAAGACTAGAGCATTGTTCTGCGGCACAAAAGGTTCTGGTCTTTAAAACCACTCAGTGAAAACTTAAAAAAAAAAAAAAGTTTCCCTGCATCTGCATCATTCAGATGTTCAGTGGCAGACTTCAGACGGGCCTGGACATGGGCTTTCTTGAGCAGAGGGACCTTGCGGCACTGCAGGATTTCAGTCCTTGTCGGCGTAGTGTTTTACCAATTGTTTTCTTGGTGACTGTGGTCCCAGCTGCCTGGAGATCATTGACAAGATCCTCACGTGTAGTTTGGGATGATTCCTCACTGTTCTCATGATCATTGACACTCCACGAGGTGAGATCTTGCATGGTGCACCAGACCTAGGGAGACTGACACACTTTTTTGTGTTTCTTCCATTTTGTGAATGATTGCACCAACTGTTGTCACCTTCTCACCAAGCTGCTTGGCCATAGTTTGGTAGCCCAGTCCAGCCTTGTGTAGGTCTACAATCTTGTACCCGACATCCTTGGACGGCTCTTTGGTCTTTGCCATGGTGGAGAGTTTGGAATCTGATGGTTTGATTGCTCCTGTGGACAGGTGTCTTTTATACAGGTAACAAAATGAGATTAGCAGCACTCCCTTTAAGAGACTGCTTCTAATCTCAGCTTGTTACCTGTATGAAAGACACCTGGGAGCCAGAAATCCTGCTGAATGATAGGGGATCAAATACTTATTTCCCTCAGGAACATGCAGATCAGTCATCATTTGTTAGACGCATTTCTGCTGAATTTTAGCCATGATGTTCCTGTGATGGCCCATAAACTTAAGGAGCTCACATCTAGGGGTTGTACTGTCCTAACCTGTACAGCAAATTTCTGGGTGGGATTCTAGTTGTATGATTCTGGTTTAGCAGTTTTCCCATAAATCCCCGATGACCAGATTTACACTGTTCAACAGGTAAAAAGTTTTGGGCATAAAATTGTAATCTTACATAATCTTTTTGGGGTGCTGAAAACGAAAAAAAATGACCCTAAAAAATGTTGATTGGCTCTAGTTTTTCATGATATATTCACCCATCTAATGACGTAAGCCATTCAAAATTATGATGCAACTTCAGTGCATATTGCGCAATTTTGGTGACCAATAGAAAATTGCATTTTATACTGGAATGATGCAATATTAGCCTTTAATTGCATCACTTCACTGCATAAAAGCTGCATTATCTGTAGCTGATTGTAGTTCGACAGCGTCTTTACATTTTCGTTTTATGCTTGATATATAGGCTACTCATGCCTCGAACTTTATTGTGAATAAAGCAAATAATTTCTGCTATATCTGCGGTGAAATAATTTTTATCTCACAAAAAAGGAGGATAACAGGAATGATTAAGAAAGCCTACAACTTGTATTTTGGCTGCATATAAGAGACCAGGACAAGAGCTGGGCACCACATATATGCTGCAATTCTTGTGGGAACGGCACTGGAGCAATGGTTGAATGGAAAAAAGGCATTATGCCTTTATCCTGTGCCAGATTTTGGAGAGAAACAGAAATCATGTTAGTAATTGTTTACTTTTGTATGGTGCCTCCCAAAAAAGGGCTAAATAAGAAGAAAAAAGTTATCTGTGCACTATCCAAATATTCCATCGGCAATACGTCCAGTTCCTCAGAGAGGGGCTACCATTCCTAAAGCACCAAATTCTTCGTGTTGAGATCAAGTTGAGGAAGAACCTGAAGCGTGTTCACGTGCAGTTGTAAGAGATAGCCCTTTCTTCGAATACAAGAGAAAAGCCAAAGGCAAAACCCACAAACTGAAGACAAAACTAGTGAGAATCCTAAGTATTAAAATGATTCAACTTAGCTTATGGCTATAATTTTTCTGGTAATCCTATGCAATATATTATGCCATTTAGGCTTTGTTATGTATCAATATCACTTGCTTTATATTTGTGGAAAGACATCTATCTAGATAATTATTGTGCATTATGTAGTCATTACGCCTATAGTAGAAAACTTTCCGTTTACAGAAAAACTAGAGCCAATTGACAAATTTCATTGTTATATTTGAACTCAGAATGTGAAATTCATTAAGAAATGGATCCTTTTGTTTCCAAAACTGGCAAAAAATAAAAATTTGTTGAACAGTGTTATCATTCAGGCTCAACTTCCTGTGATTCTTCTACAATCCAAACACAAGACTAGAGCATTGTTCTGCGGCACAAAAGATTCTGGTCTTTAAAACCACTCAGTGAAAACGTAAAAAAAAAGTTTCCCTGCAAAGAAGATAATAAACACTAATGTCTCCTGCTGTGTATCTGTCCCGTACTGAAAAAACTAGTTGTCTGAGGACTCTTGAGTAGGAATGAGTGAACTGGGCAAAGTTCAGTTCACAGGAGGTTCGGAAAACCCAACATAAAGTCCAGTTACATAGTTAGTCTGGCTGAAAATAGACAAAAGTCCATCCAGTTCAACCATAGAAAAAAAAAAGTTACAATCCTACATCCACAGTTGATCCAGAGGAAGGCAAAAAAAAACCAGCAAAGTACGATCCAATTTGCTCCTGCAGGGAAAAAAGTTCCTTCCTGATCCCCCGAGAGGCAATCGGATAATCGGTAAACCTGAATATAGCGCCAAACCCCAATAGAATTTTGTGGTTTTATTTTAATTCATAGAACTTTTTATAACAATACCATTTAGCCAAGAGTGTGTCTTTTATTGCGCCTTAAAGGGCAACATTAACCACTTGGGCTCCAGGAGGTTTTTAGCCCCTTCAAGACCATTCCATTTTTTTTTTGCTATTTGAACCACTCTACTGTAACTGGTAATTGTGCCGTCATGCCCTGCGCCCAAATGAAATGGAGATGATTTTTGTTTTCACACAAATAGAGCTTTCTTTTGGTGGTATTTGATCACCACCCCTTAACCACTTCCAGTCCGGACACTTTCCCCCCTTCCAATCCGAACGCTTTCACCCCCTTCCAGTCCAGACACTTTCCCCCACTTCCAGTCTGGACACTTTCCCCCCCCCCCTTCCAGTCCAGGACACTTTCCCCCCACTTTGGACACCCCCTTCCAGTCCGGACACTTTCACCCCCTTCCAGTCCGGACACTTTCCCCCCCTTTCCGGACACCACCCCCTTCCAGCCCAGACACTTTCCCCCCCTTCCAGTCCGGACACTTTCACCCCCTTCCAGTCCGGACACTTTCACCCCCTTCCAGTCCGGACACTTTCCCCCCTTCCAGTCCGGACACTTTCACCCCTTTCCAGTCCGGACACTTTCACCCCCTTCCAGTCCGGACACTTTCCCCCCCTTCCAGTCCAGACACTTTCCCCCCCCCCCCCAGTCCGGACACTTCCCCCCCTTCCAGTCCAGACACTTTCCCCCCCTTCCAGTCCGGACACTTTCCCCCCTTCCAGTCCGGACACTTTCCCCCCTTCCAGTCCGGACACTTTCCCCCCCTTCCTGTCCGGACACTTTCCCCCCTTCCAGTCCGGACACTTTCACCTCCTTCCAGTCCAGACACTTTCACCCCCTTCCAGTCCGGACACTTTCCCCCCCTTCCAGTCCGGACACTTTCCCCCCCTTTCCAGTCCGGACACTTTCACCCCCTTTCAGTCCGGACACTTTCACCCCCTTCCAGTCCGGACACTTTCCCCCCCTTCCAGTCCAGAGACTTTCACCCCCTTCCAGTCCGGACACTTTCCCCCCCTTCCAGTCCGGACACTTTCCCCCCTTCCTGTCCGGACACTTTCACCCCCTTCCAGTCCGGACACTTTCCCCCCCCCCCTTCCAGTCCGGACACTTTCACCCCCTTCCAGTCCGGACACTTTCACCCCCTTCCAGTCCGGACACTTTCCCCCCTTCCTGTCCGGACACTTTCACCCCCTTCCAGTCCGGACACTTTCCCCCCTTCCTGTCCAGGCCAATTTTCAGCTTTCAGCGCTATCACACTTTGAATGACAATTGCGCGGTCATGCAACACTGTACCCATATGAATTTGTTAGCATTTTTTTGAGACAGATAAAGCTTAATTTTGGTGGTATTTATTCACCGCTGGGATTTTTATTTTTTGCTATGTAAATGAAAAAGTCCCAAAACTTTTAAATAAAAGTGTTTTTCTTATAAAATTTAGCAAATAAATAATATTTCATCATAAATCTTGG